CCTGTGAAAGGGTCATTGGACCCCCAAAGGGGTCGCGACCCACAGGTTGAGAACCGCTGCCCTAGAGGATCTTAAATCCTCCTCCTTTACTACTCTTGATCTCTCCAACCATCTCCCTGCCCCCCAGCCCAGGGCTCCTCTATCTCAGCAGGCTGAGAGCCTACCACCCTACCCAGCGAATCCCACTGCCACCACCCCACCCCACACCCGCTCCGGAGCAGTTAATTATGAAAAGTCTGGCAGTCTTTCTCTCTTGCCCTAAACAGGCCATGAGAAAATGTACTAATCTTAACCTAACAAGCCTTAGCAGGGGAGAAAAGGGTAGTGGTCTAGCCTTTGTTTAAACTTCTCTGGGCTACACCCTTCACAAATTTATACCTTTAACCCCAGAATTCCAAAATTTCAACCTAATACAGCAAAATCACAGATCAGGGAGGGAAGAGCAAACCAAAGCCCCTGGTACATAAACAGACAGAAATTTCAGTGGGCTGATTCCCTCCTTGATGGAGAGCAAAAGACTGAGAAAAATAACTCTCAGCAGCTAGAGACTTTTGCAGTTCGTCACAGCATTCAGCCTTACTATACACAATTAGGCTTCCCCTAAAGCGGGGTTTGCCCTATCTTTAAACAAATTAAACAACAGGAAGAGATAACAAATACTCTCGTGTGTACAGCCAGATGGCACAAAGTAGCTTTCACTTCACACAGACTCTCACACATTTATACGCCAGACAATCCGAGTTTTTGACTTCTACCAGATATTTACTCAGAGTTTAAACAGTCCACCTGATTCCTGATTAATTGCCCGAGGAAGCCATATGGCTTCCAGGGAGGTGATCAAGCTCCCCCTTCCACTCACTTGGAGTGGGCCTGACTGACTGGGGCCCCTACCTTACCAATTCTGTCGACAGGTTCAGAAGTGTCCTTCCACTCTTTCCTGATGCCAGCCGGGTCCTGGGCTGAGGTCCGGGAGCGCCGAGCCAAACACAGCCGGGGCTGCAGGGAGAGACAGGTTTGCACATAGCAAAGCGCTCCTGCAGTGGTAGCTTGGGCTTCAGGCTCTACTATGCTGCCCATTCTCTTTCCTGGCAGAGACCGTGGCCTTCTCTGTGGGCTCCCTTGCCAGAATGGGGCATCTAGCCCCCCGCCCCACCTACCTGTCCCCTTTCAGCACATTTACAAATGGGAAACTTTATCAGCTTCATCCCTGGCCACTTTCACAGATTCCAGGGCCTGTTGCTTGTCCCCTTTCCTATTGTGAGTCAGAGGAAGACAATTCCTACAGAGGGGAGAAATAGAAACAGTGGGAGTTTTGGAGATAACCACAGACTACCACTGTAGTAGTCCTCCCTCCTGGAGGCTGGGGTCCAACCTGTGGAGAAAAATGACTCTTAGTCAGCCTGGAAAGATAGCCGATGAGGATAAGGGTGTGTAGGGAGATTTCTTGCAGACTGAAAGCCTGGAGGGCCTCCTGAAAGAA